CGTGGGCCATGACATCTCCCCAGATTTCATGGCGCCTTTTTCCTTGTTTCATTACGTCCCTGGCCCCCGCCAGGGCCGCGCACATGCCGCCGGCCACGATTTGCGCCCCCCCCCTCTTCGACGCCCCCCTCTCGGCCGCCCCCGAAGCCCGGAGGTCCTGGCGCCTCCACTGCTTCGAGCCGGGCGTCTTCGCCCGGGGTTGGGCCCCGGGACCCTCGCGGATCGATCCGGCTCGAAGCGTGATGCAGACAGACGGACATCAGGAGGAAAAGAAGCACACACAGACACACTTAATCCTCGATGTCCCAGAAACTATGGGAAAACATGGGAAGTGGGCGGGAAGACAGAAACCCAGAAAATATACGGAAATATGGGGAATCTTTTTATTTGTGTGTATTTGTTTGTGTGTCCCAGGGCCCCTTCAAGACACGCAGACACCCGACGCCTCGATGTTTTCAAGACGCGGGCTCCCGACCACCTGCCCGGGGCCGGTGTCTCCTCCCGAGCCAGCGTTTGCCGGGCCCGAGGCGCAGGGGCCGAACAAAGACGCAAAGCCTCCCTCTCGATGGTTTCGTGCCGAGGCGCCCGGTGTTTGGGCAGCCCCGAGTGCTATACCCAGAGATCCAACGTATTGAAAAAAACAAGACGGAGGTTTTTCGCCGTTTTCGGCTTCTAAGGGCCCTCGCCGGGCCTCGGGACCGTCAAAAACGACTCAGGATGAAAAACGGGTCCTGGGGAATGGGTCGGGATTTCCAGGAAACCCGTATTGAAAAAATCACGACATCGGATCTCTGGGTACGTACGATGTCTCGGTTTGCTCAGGCCGGCGGACCTCCGGGAAAGGCGAGCTCCACGCGTCAGGGCTGCGCCGCCCTCTCCATCAGCTCGCCTCCGCTCGCGCACCTGGCCCTGAGCAGGGGCCGGCCGTGCCGGCATTCCCACAGGCCCACCGCGACGTGTTCTCAGAACCCAGAAGGTTGCAAGAACAAGAGCACCGCCGCCTCCTCCTCCTCCTCCTCTTCCTCCTCCGTCTCCTCCTCCTCCTCCTCCTCCTTCTCCGTCTCCTCCTCCTCCTCCTCCTCCTCCTCCGTCTCCTCCTCCCCCTCCTCCCTCTCCTTCTCATCCTCCTGCTCCTCCTCATCCTCCGTTCCTCCGTTTCCTTCTCCTCCTCCTCGAAGTGTTCTCAGAGCCCAAACGGTTCCACAAACCAGAACACCTCCTCCTCCTCCTCCTCATCATCATCATCATCATCATCATCCTCATCATCATCATCATCATCATCATCATCATCATCATCATCATCATCATCATCCTTCCCATCATCATCATCATCATCATCATCATCTTCATCTTCATCTTCATCTTCATCTTCATCTTCATCTTCATCTTCATCTTCATCTTCATCTTCATCTTCATCTTCATCCTCATCATCCTCATCCTCATCCTCATCCTCATCCTCCTCCTCATCCTCATCCCCCCCTCGCCCGTGGGCCCCGCTCGCTGCAGGTCGTTGTCCAGTGCTCCGCGGCGTCCGGCCGCCCGGAGCCGGTGGTCTACAGAGTGCCGGACACGCGGCAGTCCTCGCGAGGCGCGGGCCCGCCCGCGCGTGCGGTCGGAACGGGGAGGAGGAGGAGGAGGAGGAGGAGGAGGAGGAGGAGGAGGAGGAGGAGGAGGAGGAGGAGGAGGAGGAGGATAACTCGAAATCTCGGAGAATCGGCGAGTTTGGAGGATGTATTGGGCGCCGCGGCCGCTCCAGAGCGCTCTGAGAGCGCTCCGGGACGCTCTGGAGCGATTGATCCCGATCCTGGCCCTGTTTTAGCGGTCGGAACGGACGCTGCAGTTCCGGGGCTCACGTAACTGCAGGCTTCCCGGCTGGTGTCCGAGTAGATGTGGGCGGAGGATCGCGCCGCATCACCGGTGCATGGGCAATGCGGCTCGATGTGGAGCCGGATTTGCTGCACGCCGACGTCGCGGATGCGTCGCCGACGTCGCCGATGCATCGCCGATGCATCGTCGATACATCGGCGCGATGCGGCGCGACACTTGGACCCCATCTGGGAGGCTTCTGGTAGCGGGGGTCAGCGCTAACGGGGGTCATAGGGGGCCAGGCGCGAACCCTACCCCTACCCCCCACGATTTCTGAGGGGCAGGGTGGGGTTCACTTCGTCTGGGAGCTCCCGAGCGAGGTGAACCCCACCCTCCCCCTCAGAAATCGTGGGGCGTAGGGGTAGGGTTCGTGTGTGGCCCCCTAGGTCAGCCAATCCCTGGCTGACTCGGGTTTGGGAGCCATGAGGGGCCGGAGCCCCCTGTCCGCTCTCCGCGACCGGGCGGCTGGCTAGGCTTCGAGGCAGGGGCCCAGGCGAAGAGGGGGGGCAGGGGGACGTGGACAGGTCGGACGGAGCAAAGACGAGGAGAAGTCCGTTTCAGAGCGTTTCGGAACGCTTCTGAGAGCGTTCCGGAACGATCTGAGACGGCCGCCGCGCCCGAGACAACCTCCAAATCTGCTGGATCTCAAGAGATTCTCGATTTATCCTCACCCGATTTCATCCTCGTCCTAGCCTCGTCTTAGAAGGCTTCTCGGAAGGCTTCCCCCGTTTTTTTTAGGCCCTCGCACGCTTCTGTGGTTCTTTGGGCCCTGAGAGGCCCACGAGGCGCGGCGAGTTGGAGAAATCTCACGGGCGGGGATTGGTCGTCGTCGTCGTCGGTCGGCCCTCCCGCAACTGCGCATAAGAAGTAGGGAGGTGGCGGGAGGAAGGAGGGGACGGGGGGAGGAGTAAGGGGAGGATAGAGGAGGGCTGGGCGGAGGGGGGAGGGAGGGGAGGAGGGAGGAAGGGCGGAAGGGGGGAGGGGGAGAGGGGGGAGGGGGGGAGGTGGGGGGAGGGGGATGGGTAGGATGGACGAGGAGGGAATGGAATGCCCCGCAAATGGGAGTGCACCGTACTAGGTAATCTCAGCTCAAATGAATAAAAACTGGGATATCGACTCGGGGAGGGGGGGAGGGAGGAGGGAGAGGGGAGAAGGAGAGGAAGAGGGAGGAGAGGATTATGGAGGAGGGAGGCAGGGGAGGAGGGAGGAGGGGGAGGAGGGAGGTGGAAGGAGGGAGGGAGGAGGGGAGGAGGGAGGAGGGAGGAGGGAGGTGGGGGGAGGGAGGAGGGAGGAGGAGGGAGGTCCTGGCGTCGCGCCTTTCTGCTGCCGCGCCCGGCGTTCTCTCTGCGCCCGGTCCAGGGCCTCGGGGCCCTGGCCTGGAGTCGGGATCTATCGGTCCAGACCTCGTCCTCCTCGTCTTCATCCTCCTCGTTTTCGTCCTCATCCTCCTCCTCCTCCTCCTCTTCATCCTCCCTCCTCCTCATCCTCATCCTCATCCTCCCTCCTCCTCCTCCTCCTCCTCCTCCTCCTCCTCCTCCTCCTCCTCCTCCTCCTCCTCCTCCTCCTGCGCCGCGAGCTACACCCAACAGATCAAGGCATACTCGAAGGCGCTGACGAGCCACCGCAAGCACATGCTGGAGGCCCGCCAGGTGTACACGGAGGGCGAGCTGGCTGAAGCTTGGCAACGGCGGGACATGGCGGCGGTCCCCAGGCTGGCGAGGTCGCTCGCTAGGACGGGTATCGGCATCAAGAACCGCATGCAACTACCGCGCGAACCCGTCCTTCTCCCCGTCGGTCTATGAGTGGAGCGCCTTCCTGCGGAGCCCACCGCTGGAGGGTGCCCTTGGGGGGGAGAGCGTGACCGTCCCGTGGTGCGCGGAGGTGTCGGGCGAATGGTACGACCAGCTCGCCAACATTGATGACTACTTCCACCCCGACGCCTACGAGGTCACCCCCCCCCATGCGCAAGCAGGCCCAGGATGACTTCAAGCGCACGTGTAAAGCCATCAGGAAGTCCAAGCTGGGCAGGTTTGCGCCGAGGTGGTCGGCCCCAGTCGAGCTGCTCAAGATCCTCCTCAACCCCACGTGGATCAGCATGCCGAGTGACTACTGGAAGAAGACGGATGGCCTGGGTTCGCGCCCTACCCCTGCGTGGGACGAGGACCAGAGGACGGCGGACCCCTAAACGCAGGACCAGCTGGTGCACCTGGCCAAGTACGGCGAGGCGGCCTACAGGCTCTTCCGCCTCACGGTGCACCTCAGGAGGACGGGCTCCCTCCCCATCCAGGCCTCGCTGTCCTACGGCTTCGCGATCGACAAGAAGAACGGGAAACCAGGGCCTGCTGGACGGCGGTTGCTCCATGCCGTGTGCCCTTGGTGGAGGGCCTACACGCGCGGCCAACTCATGCGAGGCGGCCCCTACCGCCCCCCGCCCTGGGCCTTCGCGTGCCGTGGTCGGAGGCGCGAGCACCTGATGACCTGCACCAGAATCATGGCATGGAAAGGCGTGCGGGGGGGGGCCAGGCGATGCTGCACAAGAGCTACGACGCGACGAACGCCTTCGCCTGCGGCTCGAAGACCGAGCTGGAGGGGGGCATTCGCGAGAGGCTGTAGACGGACCCTGAGCTCGACGAGAGGGACATCACCTTCGCCATACACATCACGAGCGCCTGGCCGTGCGCAGCGGCAGCGGGGGGGTCATGGGCGACGCGTCGGAGCCTGAGATTTTCATGCGCAACTGCCACCACGCTGTTAGGGCGTGGGCCGACTTCGAGCGCCGCCAGCACAACAACGACACCACCATCACGTTCGGGCGCTTCGAGGCCGTGGACGCGAGTATGGGCACCTTCATGGACGACATCTTCAAGACGCTGCTGATCCCCAACACGGCGTGTACCCCAGAGGCCGTGGTCAGGGCGTCCCTGGCCAACGGCCTCTACCTCGACCAGGCTCTGGCGGCGAGAGGCGACGCGCAGAATCGAAAGAAGCAGGATGTCGTCCCCGCCCTGAGGTCGAGGCAGCTCACCCGCCTGACGACGGAGTCGCTCTTGGCGTCGGGCTGTCACCCGGGCTACGAGCTGATGCACCTGGGCGCCTGGTTCAACGCGGTCAACAGCAACGCGTTGGAGCTGAGGCCAGGATCCAGGCGATCAACCGCGGCTGGATGATGGTGAAGGGTTTCTAGTACTCACGTGCCCCCCGACGCGCGAAGGGGCTCATGTTCATCTCCCTCGTGTCGGGCGCGGCGCTGTCGAGCACCGCTGCCATGTGCTGGACTGAGGGCGAGTGCAGGGCGCTGCGCTCGTCGCCGGCGAGGAAGCTCCGCTCCTTGATGGGCGGCGCGGCGACGGAGACGGACCACGCGCGCACGCTCGCCACGAGGGGCGTCTACCGCTACTGGCAGCTGGCGCCCTTCGCGCTGGAGGCCGCGATCCAGCGCCTGAAGATGTGGCAGAGCATCCTGAGGAACTCTGGGAACCACTCGTTCATCCTGTAGGTCTTGTTTGGCTCCATGAGGCGGGAGCTGGAGGCCGAGTGCGCGTGCCCACCTGCACTTGCACCGTCGGGCGAGATCAACGACCACCCTGGCATCCACCCGCGGGCGGCACAGCTGAAGCGTGATCTTCAGATTGTCGTGGACCACCCTGGGGCGGAGAGTTTTGCGACGTACTGGGGCGGCGACGTTTGCGAGCTGATCTGGGACCGCGAGATCACTGACTTTTTCCTGGCCTTCGACCCCCGCGCCCTGAGGACTGCCTTCATGTCGACGGCCTGGCGGCCGCCTGCTGCGCCGGCGCATTCAGTGCCCGCAGAGGCCGATGACGAAAACCCTTAGGAGAATCCTGCCCCCGCTTTTCTGCTGCAAAATCGCCGTGGGGGATGGTGGGAGGTGCGGGGCGCTCTTCAAGACGCGGTCCGCACTCGCCGCGCATGTCACGCAGGAGGGGCGCGGCGCTAGGAGCATCTTCCTCACCATCACGCCCGCGAGCGCGCGCATCAACTGCGGCAAGGTATACCAAACTCGCACAGAAGCGGCGCGGCACAGATCTCGGTCGTGGCACGCTGGCAGGTGCATCGCACATATCACGCCATATGCATACGCGTTCGACCTGCCGAACGAGCTGCACTGCACGATCTGCGACATCATGCTGTCGTCGTGCCCTGCCCTCCGCAGCCACTTGTGCCCCCACCTGCCGCTGGCGCAGGCAGGCAACCCAGTTTCCGTCGCGGGGCCTCGGCCGCCCCGCCCACCGCCCGCACAGCCATGGCGGCCAGCGATAGCCGTCCCTGGTACTGGCGGGCGGGCCCGCGGCAGCGAGCTCCGCGCGCTGCCGAGCGTCCTGGTTCAGGGCGACGCCCTGCGCCTACTCCTACGGCGGCGGGATGACGGAGGCGGCGGCTCTCCCTGGGGAGAAGGGCGCGCCCATGCGCCCACTGTGGCGCGCCCCGAGGGGGGGGCCCTCCTCGGATGCCTCAGCGACTGGTGGCTCCGCGCCCAGGCCCGCCGAGGATCGCAAGAAGCAGAGGGCGAAGGACGGTGGAGGTCTCGCTCGAGGAACAGCAGGGTCCGAGGGCGCTGCGCCCAGGCCGAAGGGGACTCGCCGCGGGGGTCGGCGCCGCGGCGCGGCCGACAAGGAGAGGGAGCTGACCGCGAAGGATGGCGGCCTCCGCGAGCCCCCCCCTGTTGCTGACGATGCAGATCACGGCGCTCGCGCAGAAGAGCAGGTGCATGTGGGGCATCCTGACGCGCACGATCATCCTCGAGGACTCCTGCCCCGTGGTCAAGGGCGTGCAGGACGAGGGAAAGGCGTTCGCCGACCCGGCCCAGAACCTCCGCAGCCGCGTCTCCAGGCTGAAGGACGAGTCCAAGAAGGCCAAGGACAAGGTCGCCGAGGTGGCCATCAACAAGGAGGCCGACGAGGCCCAACAAGAGCTCCGCTCCTTGGGCCCCCCGACGATCGATGGCGGTCTTCGCAGCCATGTTGGAGTCGATGGCTACCCAGGGGGTGGGCAAGACCAACCGCATCGCCCTGGAAAAGTGGACCAACGAGATGGTGGGCAACGCGCCCGACTACGTGAAGTTGCGCAGGCTCGAGAATTGCTGCAACGAGGGCCAGATCAAGATCGTCTTCTCCATCGCCAGCCAGGCGCGGGATAACATCCCAGTGGGGTCGCCCAGGTCCCCGGGGGCCCAGGTGACGACGGCCCTGGGAGCTGTGCGCGTGGATCGACGTCCTAAAAGCCTAGCCGAGGATGCCGACGAATGGGGTCTGGACGAGCAAGAGCGATTCTTCGAGCTGTGAATCATGATTCTGACGTGTGGCCTCGCACTGACACCGCCGCCTCCCATGCTCTGGCTAGCGAGGCGGTGCAGCCGTGCCACCCGCAAAAAAAAAATGAAGTGGCAGACGCCACGGACAGCGAGTGTAGAAGACTTCAGAGGTCTTAATTTTGTCCTTTTTGGCACGCGAATTTCCCAGAGGCTGGATAAACCATTCAATGGCTGCGTACACACACACACATTCCTCCTCCTCCTCCTGCGCCTCCTCCTCCTCCTCCTCCTCCTCCTCCTCCTGTTCCTCCTCCTCGTCCCAGGGGCTGCGCTGGCCAGCCGTGAGAAAAAGGCAGCATCGTGGCCAATCGCGACGTGCAAAGGAGATCAACCGGTCCAGAGCGTTCCCCAGGCCCCCCCGAGTCATGAAACAACTCTCGACGGAGGGTTTTTCATTATTTGCGGCTTCTGGTGTCGAAGGCATCGGGGGTGGACAGAACCCCCACCCTGACACGTCGATTAGTGAATTGTTAGACCTCCCCGAGTCATGAGAATTACCCTGCGACGTACCAAACCCATGTGAATCAAGTGGCACGAGGAGTAGGCCAACATTAGCAGGCACAACGACAGTGTAGACGCGGTGAATTGCTGCGCGAACTACATGGGATGCGCATGCGTTGCACGACTCACAGGACGACGATCGAAAGAACGAGGATTGAGGCCCCAGGCTCGAAGAATAACGGGGACAGGAACGAGGGGCAGGAGAAATATGGAATGGGGGGTAATCGAAATCTGCGTATGACCCCACTCCGCTGGACCCCCCTGCAGCCCTCGAAAGTGGCGACAGTTGCGCAGATCGCAGCCCCCACCGCGAGGTCTCGAGGTAATCCGCGTGGGACCCACCTCCGCTGGGCCTCCCAGGAGCCCACGAAAGTGGCGACGGTTGCGCAGATCGCAAGCCCCCCAGGGGGCGGCGAACTACCGAGGTGATCCGCGTGGAACCCACCTCCGCTGAGCCTCCCAGGAGCCCACTAAAGTGGCAACACTTGCGCAGATCGCGGCCCCCAGGGCACGGCGAGGTCTCGAGGTGTGGTCCGCGTGGGACCCACCTCCGCTGAACCTCCCAGGAGCCCACGACAGTGGCGACAGTTGCGCAGATCGCAGCCCCCAGGGCACCGTGAGGTTTCGAGGTGGTCCGAATAAATTAGTGGCGACAGTTGCGCAGATCGCAAGCCCCCCAGGGGGCGGCGAGGTCCCGAGGTGACCCGCGTGGGACCCACCTCCGCTGGGCCTCCCAGGAGCCCACGAAAGTGGCGACAGTCGCGCAGATCGCAAACCCCCCAGGGGGCGGCGAGGTACCGAGGTGATCCGCGAGGGACCCACCTCCGCTGGGCCTCCCAGGAGCCCACGAAAGTGGCGACGGTTGCGCAGATCGCAAGCCCCCCAAGGGGCGGCGAGGTCCCGAGGTGATCCGCGTGGGACCCACTTCCGCTGGGCCTCCCAGGAGCCCACGAAAGTGGCAACAGTTGCGCTGATCGCAGGCCCCCCAGGGGGCGGCGAGGTGCCGAGGTGATCCGCGTGGGACCCACCTCCGTTGGGCCTCCCAGGAGCCCACGAAAGTGGCGTTGGTTGCGCAGATCGCAAGCCTCCCAGGGGGCGGCGAGCTACCGAGGTGATCCGCGTGGGACCCACCTCCGCTGGGTCTCCCAGGAGCCCACGAAAGTGGCGACAGTTGCGCAGATCGCAGCCCGACGGCGCGAGAGAACAGGAGAGGGGAACAAAGGAGACAGGAGAGGAGGAGGGGACGAGAGGGGAGGAGAAGAAGGAGGACGGGGCGACCACACTGCTCTTTCCAAAACGAGTGCCCAACCATAGGAGGGTTGGGAAAAATCTAGACGGAGGGTTTTTCATTATTTTCGGCTTCTGGAGTCGAAGAAATCGGGGTTGGACAGAACCCCCACCCTGACACGTCGACTAGTGAATTGTCCGTTTTCGGTTCTCGAGAGGGTGCCGCGGCCGTCATTTTCCAGGGTTGCGCCCGCTAGGTTTGGGCCCAAGGCAGTTTTCACTAAACCACGTTTTACTAAAGCTAAGCCGGGCCTGTCCCTCTACAGGAGGAACATTCAAAAATAGCCAAACACTAGTATGGGATACATTTTTTCTGTATTTTTGAACGTTCGCGCCTGTAGGAGGACATGCCCGACCTAATACTAAATGGGGTTCTGTCCATCCCCGACTATTTTCGGCTTCTGGGGTCGAAGAAAGACATTAAACATAAGCATACACTGTTTGCACTCCGCGCGGATTTCTTGGCTCCCCGCTGGGCCCTCCCTGGCGGCGCCTCCGGCGCTGCCCCTGGCGCACTCCGGATGAAGCGCAGATCCAAGAAATCCGCGCGGAGCGCCAAAAGTTTATGTTTATGGCGTCATAATAAAAGACGAGTCATGACAAAAATCACGGCCTCTGGGGGGCCCTCGCTGGGCCCCAGGAGCTTCGAACAACGACTCAGGATGTTGGTAGCATTCTTATCCGTAAGTGCTTCGCCCCATGCCGCCGGCCCCCTGTCTCGGAGAATGGGAAATGCAAAAGCTAAATCATGAGGTCTGGGCGCCGCCGTGAAGCCGTGTCGGGACCTTTTTGTTTTTCGATTCTGACCCCGCCGATTTGCATGAGGGGTGCCACCGAATTTCAGGAATGTGGCAAATCCCATGTGTTTTTGGACCCTGACCCCGCCGATCTGCGTGAGGGGTGATACCGGTTTCAGAAATGTTGCAAATCCCTTATGTTTTTGGACCCTGACCCCGCCGATCTGCGTGAGGGGTGCCACCGAATTTCAGGAATGTAACACTTCCCATGTGTTTTTGAACCCTGACCCCGCCGATTTGCGTGAGGGGTGCCACCGAATTTCAGGAATGTGGCAAATCCCATGTGTTTTTGGACCCTGACCCCGCTGATCTGCATGAGGGGTGCCACCGAATTTAGAAATGTGGCAAATCCCATGTGTTTTTTGACCCTGACCCCGCCGATCTGCGTGAGGGGTGCAACTGAAATTCAAACATGTGGCAAATCCCTTGTGTTTTTGGACCCTGACCCTGCAGATCTGCGTGAGGGGTATCAATTTCTACCCCCCAGAAATTCTGAGAACCCTCCCAGGGCGTGGTAGTTCTGCTGGTTTGGGCTCCCCGCCCCTCGCGCGTTCATCAACAAGGAACAGTAAGCAGCAAGAAGCAGAACTGTAACAGTGGAAACTGGAAGCTGCAACTGGCACAGGGAGCAGCACATCCCCGGCCTACAGCCTGGTGGCTCCGCAAGGGGGCCGGCGGATTCATTGTTTTGCCGATCGGTTCCGGCCCTCGTATACCCCCTTCCCCCCCCATCCTCCTCTTCCTCCTCCTCCTCCTCCTGCGCCTCCTCCTCCTCCTCCTTCTCCTCCTCCTCCCTTCCTCCCCTCCTCCTCCTCCTCCTCCTCTTCCTCCTCCTCCCCTACCTCCTCCTCCTTCTCCTCCCTTTCTCCTCCCTCCTCCTCCTCCCTCTCTTCTTGCTAGGTCGAGGGTGATTAAGAACCTGCGGGTCTGCGGGGGGCTCTGGATTGTCGGAGCCCGTGGTATTCTTGGCGCGCGCTCAGTCATATAGTGCGGGTCGGCATCCCTGGACAGGTCCGCAGGGAAGGGGGTTGAAGGAAGTCGAAGTCAAGGTATTCCTCCTACTCACTTCCCTCCTCCTCCTCCTCCCCTCCTCCCTCTCCTCCTCCTCCTCCCTCCTCCTCCTCCTCCTCCTCCTCCTCCCTCCTCCTCCTCCTCCTCCTCCTCCTCCTCCTCCTCCCCCCCCCCCTCCTCCTCCTCCTCCTCCTCCTCCACCTCCTCCTCCTCCTCCTCCTCCTCCCACCCTCCTCCTCCTCCTCCTCCTCCCCCCTCCTCCTCCTCCCTCCTCCCATCTCCTCTCCTCCTCCTCCTTCCCCCTCCTCCTCCTCCTCCCACCTCCTCCTCCCCCCCCCTCCTCCTCCTCCCCTCCTCCTCCTCCTCCTCCTCCTCCTCCTCCTCCCCTCCCCTCCACCTCCTCCGCCTCCTCCCTCCTCCTCCTCTCCTCCTCCTCCTCCTCCTCACACCCTCCCCGTCCTCCCTCCCCTCGAGGGCGAGGGTGATTGTAATTGGCCTGGGGATCCCAGGATGCACTCCATGACTCCCGGGTTCTTCTGCGGCTGCGCGCGGGCTCCAGATGCGAGGGTTGCCGGATGATCTCGGGCTCCACTCTCGTCCTTGGGGGGGGAGCAGGCGGAGGAGGAGGAGGAGCAGGAGGAGGAGGAGGGGGCGAAGGAGGAGGAGGAGAAGGAGGAGGAGGAATAGGAGGGGGAGTCGGAGGGGGCAAGCCAGGTAGCAGGGTCCTCCCCGCGACACAGGCGTCGTCCTCAAGCTGCGCGACCAGATCCTGTCCGTCACAGTGACCCGCGTGGGGAACCAGACGATCCTCAGCCTGGATGCATCGAAGGAAGTTAATGTCCGATCCTCGAGGTTCGACCATCGAGAATAAAAGCACTCCTGACCCTAATAGCACATTGAAAACTTGACCTCATTGAGGTCACCGTCCTTTCTCTAGGGAAAAAATCTGGACTGTTTGGTTCGATACATCTGCAGAAAAGAGCCCATATCCCTAATTTGTTGGGCCCTCCTAGCTCAGGTCCTTGCTTGCTCCCGAGCTACTGCTCACAGGGGCCGGCCACAGCTGGGGGGGAGGTGTGGTCCTGCGCAGATCAAGGAAATCCGCGCGGAGCGCCAAACAATTGTCTCTTGCTCTAAAGGAGCATCCTGGATCAGCGAGCCAAAGAAAGCATGCACGAGGCCGAGAAGTGCATGGGGGATCGGCGTCCGAGCGATGGCAGGGTCCCTCCCGAATGAGGTCGGCACGAGGGGCTCCCCCTGAGGGGGGGGGAAGGAAGAGAACTCCCCGGGCGCCTCGACAGAAGCGTCGACGAAGAAGACGTAGTACAAGCATGCCCTCCTCCCTCCTCCTCCTCCTCCTCCTCCTCCACCTCCTCCTCCTCCACCTTTCCTCGTCCTCCTCCTCTTCCTCCTCCTCCTCCTCCTCCATTCCTTCTCCATATAAATAACATCTCCGTGCCGCACCCCGAGGCCAGTGTTTAGGGCGGCCCGAGCGTTTCGCCTGAGACTTCCTCACCATTTATGACCCTGAGGCTTCAAACAATGGAGGGCGGGAAGTTTTCACGAATGAAGGGCTTCAATACCAGCTTCACGAATAGAGGGCGTGTCGTTTTCAAAATGTAGCTCTTGTCTCAGCGCCGCGCACATTCGTTTAAACCATGTGCAAGAGTTTCACGGATTCAGGGCGGGCCATTTTCCAAATTTGGTTCTCGCTTCAGCGCCGCGCGTACTCGTTTCAACAAATGGCAAGAGTTTCACGGGTTAACGGCGATTCCTGTTTCAAATTGTGGTTCTCGCATCAGCGCCGCGCACATTCGTCTGAACCAGTTGCAGGAGCTTCACGGATTGAAGGCGCGCCCTTTTCAAAATGAGGTTCTCGCTTTAGCGCCGCGCACATTCGCTTAAAACAATGAACGAGTTTCACGGCTTCACATGATCAGCGTACCAGAAATTATGGTTTGGACGGGTTCAGGCCTATGAGGGTGCACAAGTTAACCGAGCGTTCCCGATAATAATCCCCTGGGGATAATAAAGTTCGGGGGTCTGGCGGGGACAATCAACGTGTTTTCCCGGCGGAGGTGATGATGAGGATGAGGATGATGATGATGATGATGATGATGATGATGATGATGATGATGATGATCCTGGGCGCTCGTGTAGATTGACCTTGTAATTCTTGGCACAAGACTGACTCGAGAGATATCAAGTCTCGTGGCTACAACTTGCCTGCGCAAGAGATGTCAGTGGCGCTCCTGGCCAAGAAACCTCTCTTGCGCACGACTTCGAACCACTCGCCCATGCAGGCTCGGCACTCTTTGGAGCCGTCCTTGGACGGGAGGCACGTGATGCAGGCCTGGGCGGCAGCGCTTGCCTTCTCAAACGGCATCGTGACTTGGGAAAACTGGAATGGTGAGAATACCATAGCCTTGCCACGCGCTCGTGATTGTGGAAGCTGAAATGGTGAGACCACCATTGCCGTGCTCGGCGTGTTTGATGCTATTGCTAGTCAACATAAGATGAATGGCGTTCTGGCACGATCCAGGATTCGTCCAGACGAAACAGTCAGGTTGATCCTGGGCGTTAGAATCCCGAGAACAATGTTTTGGTTTTCAAACAGGGGTCTTCCAACGAGGCTGTTCCCCCAGTGCAAATGAATCACTGTAGGAGCCTGTGAAGAGGGAGCTTGGAGAGGGGGTTTACTCCAACATCGTTGGTGCCTCTCGGGTTTACGCTGGTCCTCCTCCTCCTCCTCCTCCTCCTCCTCCTCCTCCCCACCTCCCTCCTCATCCCTCCTTCTCTTCCATCTTCTTCTCCTCCCTCCTCCTCTCCTCCCTCCTCGCTCCTCCTCCTCCTCCTCCTCCTCCTCCTCCTCCTCCTCCCCCTCCTCCTCCTCCTCCTCCTCCTCGCCTCCTCCTCCTCCTCCTCCTCCTCCCGCTTCCTTTTCCTCCTCCGGGAACCAGCCACCCTCAAAGGCTGTGTAATCCGCCAGTATCCTCCTTCTCCTTTTCCCCTCCTCCTGCCTCTCTCCTCCTCCTGCCTCCTCCTCCTCCTCCTCCTCCTCTCTCTCTTCATCCTCTCCCCTCCCCTCTTCCCTCCCTCCCTCCTCCTCCTCCTTCGTCGGACTCCTTCTCCTCCTCCTCCTCACCCCTCCTCCTCCTCCTCCTCCTCCTCCTCCTCCTCCTCCTCCTCCTCCTCCCTCATCCTCCTCCTCCTCTCTCCTGCATCCTCCTCCTCCTCCATCCACCTCCCCGTCCTCCTACTCCTTCCCCCCAGTTTTGCCTCGTCCTCCTCTCTCCTGCTCCTTTCTTCCGTCCCTTCTCGTCCTGCTCCTCCCACCTCCCCCCTCTCCCTCCTCCTCCGTGTCTTCTCCTCCCCTTCCTCTTTTTCCTCCTCCTCAACCTCCTCCTCCTCCTCCTCCTGCTCCTCTCCGCCTCCTTTTCCTCTATGTCCTCCTCCTCCTCTTCTGCTTTTCCTCTTCCTCCTCGTCCTCCTGTTTGTTCTTCTCTTTCTCATCCTCCTCCTCCTCTTTCTCCTCCTCCTCCTCCTCCTCCTTGCTCCTTCTCCTCCTCTTCCGCCCGCCGCCCTCCCTCTCCCTCCTCCTCCTCCTCCCTCCTCCTCTTCCTGTTTTTTTCCTCTTCCTCCTCGTCCTTCTCCTCCTCATCGTCTCCTCCTCCTCCTCCTCTCTCTCCGCCTCCCTCCTCCTCCTCCTCCTCCTCCTCCTCCACCTCCACCTCCTCGTCCTCCTCCTCCTCCTCCTCCGCTTACCCAGTGGACGTGTGGCAAGCAACAGAGAGGAACGGCTTTTCGACGCGCAGCTGGTGCGAGCTTGCGATGCGGATCTCGAACAACGACTTGGAGAACCTGCAGAGCGTGTTGGAGGCATCCGCAAGGGAGCTGCAGACCGTCGGGCGCTCGAGAGGTTCCAGCGTCGTCAAGAACTACGCGAGAGCACGGGCACCCCGCTCGACGGCACCGAGATTCTCGAGAGGTGCGCCGTTTCAGGTGGAGCGGCTAGCTCCAGCGGCCGCGCGTGAGGGCGCCCATCCGCGCCTGCGGTTTTATCAGCGAGGGCATCTCGGAGTGCAGGCCAGCGGAGCGTGCACCGACATAAGCGTCTGTCTTTCTGGAGCGCCAGCAGGTACACGTTCATATTGTCACAACACTACTGGGACGCCGAGTGAAAAACGGGGGCCCCGCAGAGACCGTTCAAAAGTTCTCCTTAAGGGCCCCTCTTCCCGTGGATCGTCAGTGGGACACGATTTGCATCGCAGATCTGAAGGCGTCTCACACGCCGTGACATTAATGGTCTCGCTCGCCCCTACTTGCACGCCGACAGGAGGGATACTTTAGAAGTGCGGTTGGTTACTACAGCGAATTCTGATGCAGTGTACTGCGGCACAGGACTTGCGCCGGAAACTACATTGCACGGTTCGGCCATCGAGCGCCACGCCAAGGAAGCGAAGTGAGTCTGGAGATTGCATGAGGCTCTGTCCGAAGCGCGGGTGCAGCAGGACATAGGTAGAATATGAATCAAGCCCCCCAGCATAAATTTGGTGCGAAAGGGCTTCTTGCTTTCCGTCCCTCCTCCTCTCTTCCCTGTGTCGTTGAGTGAGGTCGCGTCGTCTCCCCCCCCTGCTCGCGGGCCCTGTTCGCCCAGCGCGTTCGGCACTGGAGAGTGCCCGCAGCCGCTCCCCCCGCACTGACCTGTTGGGGCTCGTATTCGCAAGGTAAAGAGCCTCTCTTACGGGGCCTCTTCGGAGCTCGCCCCTAGAGAGCATCGGGGCACGCCCCCTGGTGGGCCCATGGTACGTCTGGGTCTGCGGCAGGGGATTCTGCAAGTCGTGCCCCACAGCTCCTCTGCGGGCGTTCCGACATTGACCCCATCATGCGGATGTCCTGTCCTGGCCTCCCTCCTCCTTCCTCCCCGTCCCATCCTCCCTCCTCCATCCCTCCCCTCCCTCCCTCCCTCCATGCCAGGCTCACGCCAGTCCAACAACAGGGCGGATCTGCGGTCGCTCATCAATTGCCTGGAGTCGACGTGCGGAGACATGACCTTCTGGACGGACAGCGAGATCACCCTCGTCGGCTGGCACGCGCGCCGCGATGAGAGACCAGAAGGGGCCGCCAACTGCGACCTCTGGCGCCGCGTGCGGAGGGCCATCGCCGAGAGAGGAGGCGGCAGGGAGATCATCACTTTGCGCCACCTGAACAGCCACCTGACGGAGACGGATGCGACGGAGAAACACATCCCGAGAGAGGCTTGGGAAGGCAACCGATAGGCAGACAGACTGGCCGATGCAGGTGCCAAGCAGCACGCCATCCCAGAGAACCAGATGGGCTGCTACGAATGGGCGCGGGCGACGGCGGGCCTGGTCAGGGCGCGCATCGCGGCCTGCACCCAGGACGCCATGGAGCGGAGGCCGACGGAGAACAAGGAGCTGAAGATGGCGAGGAGGCACGCGGCCATGCAGGGGAGAGCGCAGAGGAAGGCCAAGGCAGACTACCTCGCGCGAGACCCTCGCAGACGGCCAGCCACCACGCACGACCTCGTGAAGCTCAGACGAGGACGAGGGTGGAGGTGCAAGTGCTGCAACCAGTCAGTCTCGACGGCGACGGCCCTTTCCAGCATCAAGGGGTGGTTCGAGCAGAAGTGCGGTGGCCCGCCCCCAGCGGCAGGCAGGTGCATCGAGTTCAACGGCCACACCTCGCACCCGTCGCACCCCCTGCGATGGCTGGACCGCCAGAGGCGCTGGTTCTGCACGCTCTGTGCGAGCTCCGCCACGGAGATGGTCTCGGACAAGTTGCAGGCACCCTGCCGCCTCCGCCCCA